ACCGAAGACCATGCCACTAGGCTTGAGTCCAGCATCATTTTCGCTTTTGCTTGCTCGGCCGGATTGTTCAGATCGCATGCCTGATAGTTTGCAGTCTTTCCGTTTGCATGGAAAAGTTTTGACAGGCAGCTTGATTTGGAAGCCTTGCGCTGCAGGAAGCGCACGCAGTGCTGGTCACCAAGTATGTTGAAGCAGCCCGCGAAGCTGGGATTACCTTGCGGCATGGCTACTTTGACTGTCACTGTTACCACGGTGCGAAGGCTGCGCTGCAAGGACGGGCTTTCCGCACGATTTCCAAAGCCCAGCCCCTGCTGTTGTAATCTTAACGTAACACGACACAGTCAGTTTTCAAGAGTTCCCCCCATGGTGTGAGTTTTGATCATTCAGTAGGTGAAGATGGGTGTTCCCTTCCCTCTAGTAATAACCCCCCCAAAAAAAACACCCCTGGTTTTTGGCCAGAACTTTTTCAGATTGCATATTTTAGTATTGGGCTCAAATTGAAAAAGAGAGACCCCTTTGCAATAAAAAATCTGTTTGGTTTGGCGCAGCACTTTCGCGAGTTCGGCAGACAAATAGAACAAAGAAAGAGATAGATAGCAGAAAGAGCGATAGATAGAGCCGATAAGTAGATTGGAGCAGCTCTCAGAAGCAGGCATCGGTGGAACAGCTCTCAGAAGCAGGCATCGGTGGAATAGCTCTCAGAAGCAGGCATCGATCGGTGGAACAGCTCTCAGAAGCAGGCGTCGGTGGAACAGCTCTCAGAAGCAGGCATCGGTGGAACAGCTCTCAGAAGCAGGCATCGGTGGAACAGCTCTCAGAAGCAGTCATTAGTGGGTTTGTTCGGCGCTATCCTGTGGGTCAAGCTTTGTGTGAGAAGTGATGCCTTTGTGTCACACGCGCTTTCGCTGAAGTCAGCCATAGCAAATCGCACGGGTGCCCCCTTTTGAGATTAATTGGAATTCTAATGTCCAAGTGCTTTTCAAAATCACACCACAATGTGTTTGGTTCATGGGTTGGCGCTGAAGGGAACATGTTCAGGCCGCTAAAATGGCAATGGTTTTCTTTCGGCTTTCCTTTGAAGGTGATGCGCCAAACGGCCCCGTTTCTTGGATACCCCGACATAGTGCTATTCAGCTTGGTCCATCACCGCACAAGTTGTTGGAACCCATGCGTGCCTTTGTTCGGCGCGTACCATTTTCCCCCAAACGGTGTGTTAACACTAAGGGGTTCTTACGGTAAGAGTAAAGGCTCGCGCTAGATCGGGGTGCTCGCTCTGACGTGGGCCATGTTTCGTTGTCTTTACGTAATGTATGTATGTCTGTTTGTGTGTGTGTATGCGTGTATGTATGTAATGCATGTGTATATGTGGGGGTTGATCAATAGGTCCTTGCAAGGAGTCATGTATTCGGTGACCTCTCGTCTTGGCTGAAATCCCTCCACGAAAGATCGGCGATAGAGTTCGCGAAAAAAAAGAAAGATTCCGCGTCGGGTTCTTGGAGGCATGCCTGCGCACTTACATATTTGCCGACCCCGCTCCCTTGCAGACAGGGAGATACGCAGCGCCTACACTTGCATGTTTGATTCCCTGCCTGTGTTGGGAATGGTGCAAACCAATAACGTTCTGGCGCAATGGCTGGGCGATTTTGGCGCAAGTTTTGCGAAAGATCCGCGAAAGAATGGCGAAAGCCCATCCGTACATCTCCGTTAAGCGCAAGTCGCAGGCAAGGGCGAATGATGGTGACTGCTTTCATTTAACGCTACTGCAAGCCTGCCGGCGCAAGTAAACTGCGGCTACGGTTTTTGCTAGCATAACTGCAGCAGCCACAATGGCTCTAGAGCGCACGCTGCAAATAAAAGGGCATGGCAATGGAGTCGCGAAAGTTTCGCGAAAGAAAGCATTTTTCTCGCGAGGATGGCGTTGTCCGGAAACAGGAATATTGATCAGCTGCCATGTATGTATGTATGTATGTGTGTATGTATGTATGTATGTATGTATGTATGTATGTATGCTGCCGTCGCTCCGTCGTCGCTCCGCCGTCGCTCCGTCGTCACCCCGTCGTCACCCCGCCGCCGCCTCGTCGTCGCCCCACCGTCGGTCCGGCGCCGCTCCGTCGTCGCCCCGTCGTCGCCCCGTCGTCGCTCCGTCGTCGCTCCGTCGTCGGCTTGTCGTCGATCCGCCGTCTTGCTGCCGCCAGCGTGGCGTCGTCCGTCGCCGAATCGACCGCCCATGTCATTTTAGGCCGTCGCGGCCCGTCGTACCACTTTTGACCTACTAACTAACACATGTCTTTAGAAACTAGATAATGTATGTATGTATGAATGAATGTGTGTGTATGTAATGTGATGTAATGTAATGTCATGTAATGTAATTTATGTATGTATGTAATGTACGTGTGTATGTATGTGTGTAATGTATGTAGGTAGGTAGGTAGGTAGGTAGGTAGGTATGTATGTACGTATGTATGTATGTATGTATGTGTGTGTGTGTATGTATGTGTGTATGTATGTATGTATGTATGTATGTATGTATGTATGTATGTATGTATGTATGTATGTATGTATGTATGTATGTATGTAATGTATGTATGTATGTATGTATGTATGTATGTATGTATGTATGTATGTATGTAATGTATGTATGTATGTATGTATGTATGTATGTATGTATGTATGTATGTAATATGTAATGTATGTATGTATGTATGTATGTATGTATGTATGTATGTATGTATGTATGTATGTATGTATGTATGTATGTATGTATGTATGTATGTATGTATGTATGTATGTATGTATGTATGTATGTATGTATGTATGTATGTATGTATGTATGTATGTATGTATGTATTTGTGTATGTATGTGTGTATGTGTGTATGTATGTATGTATGTGTGTATGTAATGTCATGTAATGTGGTGTAATGTAGTTTATGCAATATATGTAATGTTATGTGTGAGAAAACATGTTCATTCGCGCCGCTGATATCGGGTGTGTGTCTGCGGTTGTTGGACAATACCCCTTACAACAGTTTGCACTGGTTTGGCTGTATCGGTTTGGCCGTATATCCTTTCTACGTGGTTGAGTACATTCAGCTGGAAGCTTGGTGGACAGCGGTCCCACGGGACGACAACTTGCTCTCTTGACATGAGGTAAGTTCTACGGATTCTTGTATCTTTTGGTTATTGACGCTTGCGGCCACAAAAGGACGGTGCCGCATCTGGGTTGAATTTTGTTTGCAAAAGCCAAATCTGGGACTCTTGGCGCAGGGCCTAGAAAAGAATTAAATTCAGAGTTAATTCTTTTCCAGGCCATGTTTGCGCAAAGAGTCTGCGGTTCTTTCGTTTTGATCCAGCTTCTGCACCATGTAGCAAACGTGAGGTAAGTTCTACGGATTCTTGTATCTTTTGGTTGTTGACGCTTGCGGCCACAAAAGGACGGTGCCGGATCTGGGTTGAATTTTGCTTGCAAAAGCCAAATCTGGGACTCTTGGCGAAGGGCCTAGAAAAGAATTAAATTCAGAGGGCCATGTTTGCGCAAAGAGTCTGCGGTTCTTTCGTTTTGATCCAGCTTCTGCACCATGTAGCAAACGTGAGGTAAGTTCTACGGATTCTTGTATCTTTTGGTTATTGACGCTTGCGGCCACAAAAGGACGGTGCCGATCTGGGTTGAATTTTGTTTGCAAAAGCCAAATCTGGGACTCTTGGCGAAGGGCCTAGAAAAGAATTAAATTCAGAGTTAATTCTTTTCTAGGCCATGTTTGCGCAAAGAGTCTGCGGTTCTTTCGTTTTGATCCAGCTTCTGCACCATGTAGCAAACGTGAGGTAAGTTCTACGGATTCTTGTATCTTTTGGTTATTGACGCTTGCGGCCACAAAAGGACGGTGCCGCATCTGGGTTGAATTTTGTTTGCAAAAGCCAAATCTGGGACTCTTGGCGAAGGGCCTAGAAAAGAATTAAATTCAGAGTTAATTCTTTTCTAGGCCATGTTTGCGCAAAGAGTCTGCGGTTCTTTCGTTTTGATCCAGCTTCTGCACCATGTAGCAAACGTGAGGTAAGTTCTACGGATTCTTGTATCTTTTGGTTATTGACGCTTGCGGCCACAAAAGGACGGTGCCGCATCTGGGTTGAATTTTGTTTGCAAAAGCCAAATCTGGGACTCTTGGCGAAGGGCCTAGAAAAGAATTAAATTCAGAGTTAATTCTTTTCTAGGCCATGTTTGCGCAAAGAGTCTGCGGTTCTTTCGTTTTGATCCAGCTTCTGCACCATGTAGCAAACGTGAGGTAAGTTCTACGGATTCTTGTATCTTTTGGTTATTGACGCTTGCGGCCACAAAAGGACGGTGCCGGATCTGGGTTGAATTTTGCTTGCAAAAGCCAAATCTGGGACTCTTGGCGAAGGGCCTAGAAAAGAATTGAATTCAGAGTTAATTCTTTTCCAGGCCATGTTTGCACAAAGAGTCTGCGGCTCTTTTGTTTTGAGCCACCATGTAGCAAACGTGAGGTAGGTTCTAGGGGTTCTTGCATCCAATAAAGGACGGTGCCGGATCTGGGTCGAATTTGTCGCAACAGACAGCCAAATCTGGGACTATTGACAAGGGGCCTAGAAAAGAATTAAATTCAGAGTTAATTCTTTTCCTAAGAAGGTATTGGCATGCTTGCTGCCAGAAGAACTTTCTTCGAAGATAATTCTTTTTGAGACAGGGAGTTCGCACCCACTGCATCACATGGAATTAACTTCGGAGTTAATCTTTTCTAACTTTTGAATTCACTCCCTTCCGGCAGACGACCATGCCTACTGCCAGCAAAGCCCCAAAAACAAGCTTCACTGGAATGCAGGCTGTGGCGATGGCCACGGCTGCCATAAGGAAAAGAAAAAGCACCAAGATGACGAACTGCATCTTGCGGTCCCAGATCTCATCTCGCCAGGCTGTCTTTGGCCTCGCCATCGGCCGCTCGTGTCTCCGGGCTTCAGGAGACATATCTCATGCCTCCTGACCCCGCCATCACGACACACAGGAAGACGAAGCCCTCGTTTTCCTGTGTGTTGTCAGAAGCCTTGGAAATGGCGGGTGGTCCTCCCTGGTGATCTCGGGAGCCAGCAGTACAGGAGGGCAACTCGCTTTCGGCATCCGGAAGCTCACTGGGCTCCGCTTGCGCACAGTGCGCACTGGCCTGGGCGAAGTTGAAAGACAACAGAAAAAGGGAAAAAGGGGAAAAAGGGGAGCCTCACCGCTTTGAGGCTGGAAAAAAAAGGAGGGGAGCCGCTGATCTGATGAAGTAACTGTTTTCCAAATTGGAATTGTGCAAAAGGTCACATGGCACCCAGTCAGTTTGCCAAATCTTTTCCTAGCAACCAGAGTTTGCGGGTCGGAGGGTTCCACGGAAAACGTGATGGATTTTCCCATGTCCGCTCCTTCAGCGCCATAGACGCCTCCACCCGCCGGAAGGTCGCAGTGACTGCCGCCGACTCCAGCAGCTTGGGGGTCGCAGGCACGCGCTCCGTCCTGTCCAGGCCCTTCGTCTCGTCAAAGGCGCCGGCCTGGGGGTTCGTCAGAATCAAAACCCGGCAACATGATCCACAAGTCAAGAATTTACTGCCGGCGGCACCCGTTTATGGCAAGGGGATTCTTTCTGCCCGGGAGCTGGCCTGGGTGTTCTTCATGTGCTCTTGGACGGCTCGGATTTCTTCGGGGGACCACACTCGCGTGCGCCTCTTCTCCTGGAGGAGCTCACAGATCCAGAGTTCAAGGAGGGCCTCACAACAGAGAAGTTCCCGCGCATGGCTGTGCACGGGGCCGCGGAGCTGGTGTTCCCATCGGTGCATGAGATCGCTGGCTCTGAGCCTGAGCTTTCCTCATGCACCGATGGGAACACCAGCTCCGCGGCCCCGTGCACAGCCATGCGAGGGAACTTCTCCCTTGTGAGGCCCTCCTTGAAATCTGGGTCTGTGTGGCGATTGCTCACCAAGATCTGCACCTTCTTGGCCACGAGCTCCTGCAGCTTGGCGGAGTTGTCGATGACGGCCAAGTGCAGGCCGAGGACCAACAAGGAGAGCTCCTCTTGCGTAAGGCGCCCGTCTTTCCCCTGGCCACGAAGCACCCCGATGGCCATCCTGAGGCGCTTCCGTGCTCGCCCGATGGCCGGCGTCTTCCCAAAGCGGGCCAGGCCGATGAGGACCAGCACCAAGATCCGGAAGTCCCCACCGGTCTGGCCATTGGTCACACTCCTACACGGTTTGCCTCTTCAAGCCCTAAGGACGGGGGAAAAGAAACGTGACGAAAAGAGAAACGTGACAAGCATCGAGCAACTGGTCTCAAAACAAAGCAAAACGACTGGAAACAGCGGCATCATCAAAAAACAACACTTGTTGGGCATGGATAGGGTTATTTTGTTTGGGCAAAGGCTGCACGAGACGCCAACACCAGGCGAAACAAACCAACTGTCGGGCCAGGAAGATGGCCACGTAGCCTCCGATGGCAAAGAGGGCCGCTAGCACCATCAGAGCTCGGCGCACCGGGAGCTGATTGGCCTGAGAAAGACACAGAGACAGAGAGGGAGAGATAAAAACAGAGGGAGAGAGAAACAAAAAAATGTTTACAAGAATTCCAAAACCTGAAATGAGGGACATCCTGGCGAGCTAATGTTACCCCTCGAAGAGTAGGCAGCACCCAACCGCCAGCGCCTTGTCGCCCAGGGAGTCGGTGACATGGGCCCAGCGACCCAGCACCATGAAGGACCTCTGTCCGCAAGTGCGCCCCATGTCTGGAAAAATCAGGAAGTAAAAGGTGAGCGTTCGGTAGAAACAAGAACCAAGAAAAGGAAAGGAGAAAACTTGCCCCACAAGCTCAAGGAATGATCTCAAAGGGTAGTTTGAGGGTGCAGGAGCAAACGTTGGAAGAAAGGAAACAATGATTGACGCTAGCATGCACATATGTATAGTATATATATATACACATATATATATATATATTGTTACATACAAACCCGAAAACTCCCATGATCCGGGTTCAAGGTTGCTCCCAGAAAATTCTCAAACTGGACCCTTTATAAGGGAAACAAAAATGCCACCGTCCGATTCAAAGAGCGGCACATCAGAATGGGATGCCAGGTGAAGTGTCCAACTTCATGCCGCCCTGCACGGGCCCCATCCCCACGATCACCGCCGCGAGACACCCCAAAACGACCAGAAACAAGAGGTCTGCCAAACCCAAGGCCATTGCGCGGACACCTCGGCGACATCGAAAGGCTTGTTGCTGCCGTTCCAACTGCTGATTTTTCCCAATGTGGCTGTGGGTCAAAACCCTGTACCCCTGTTGAACATCAAAATAGGTGGCAAACGGATATTCATCCACGCTAAAATGGAGCCATAGGTTCTGCCCCATGGCCATGTCAACCCCAAAAAGGCCCTAGAGAGTGGTGAGGACTTGCTTCTTCTGCATGCTGAGAACCCCGCAGATCGCAACCCGGGTTCCCCGATTCCCCTCCTCCCAAGCCCGGGCAGCCAAGGCTTGGGCAAGCTGTTCACAGGATCGAGGCTCTCTTGGCAAGAACCTCGGCACCCCAAGGAATGAAATAGGACACTTCTTTGAGCCTCAATTGTGGCTTTGAAGTGGAGACCAACCCACTTCCCTTTGGAAGCGGGCAAATGCCGACCTCACATCTTATTGAGCTTCTCACGAAGGGCAACAACTTGCCCTTCAAATTCCTACATCTTGCCCTTAAAGCATTGCACCAAAGGCCTCCACAGACGTGGCAACCAGACATGTTGGTCCCAACATCGGGGGAAACCTTCCCATCGGCTTGCAGATTGCTTTCGGGAAACCGTCCCAAAACGAAACCAGCCATACCCCGGGCCACAATCATTCGCCCTCCACAAAGGGACCCTGCAAGAAAACCTGGGTTCGATCAAAATCCCTTGCAAATCCGATTGTCCGGTGCCCAGACATATGTGTGGTCGTTGTTCTTTCCTTGTAAAACCACCCAAACAAGGGTACCCTCAACAAAGCCCACACCCATAAGCCTGGAAGCCAAAAGGGGGTTTGCGCAAAACAAGCCAATCCCTATCCAAAGGTCCAAGTCGGCGACTTTTCGGGGGACCATTTTGAACATCAAGCGCCCTGGAAAACACACATTTCCAAACCCGAGATCCGGGCGAAGATGCGCGGATAGAGCGGCTTTCTCCGCCGTGCTCTCGGCCCACTGAGCCGATTGGGCGTGGCGCGTACCTTTTTTTGAGGCGGGAGGTGGTGATTGCAGCTTGGCGTTTCGGGAACGCAAACAAAGGACAACTGAAAAATGGGTTGTTTGGAAAATGATTGATTGGGTTATGGCACAGGCCGTTCTTGAAGCCCCACTCTACATTTTCTGAATATGTTAAAACCCCAAGACCCCACTTTGATTCTGCCAAAAAAACTGCGCGCAAGTTGCGGCCAGAGGATGGAAATTTGCTGGGAAATCAGTCTGGCTATATGCCAACTTGTGTTTTGCATATATATATATATGGTCCCGTGTCCCGTGTTGCTACCCCCCCCCCCCATATGGGTATGGGTCCCCCAGGACCCCCCCCCCCCCCGGCCCGAACCCCGACCCCCTGAACTCGCACCCCGACACCCCGGCACCCCCACCCCCAGGACAAGCTAATTCGTAACTAATTATAAATTAACTCTAAACTAATCTTAAACGAACCCTAAATACCCCCCTAAACCAAACCCTAAACCGTAGACCTCTAAACCTAAACCAACCCTAAATCAACATAAACCAACCGTAAACTAACCCCAAATGCACCCTAAACCAATCCCTAAACAATAAACCCTAAACCTAAGCCAACCCTAAACCAACCCTAACTAACCCTAAACCAACCCTAAATACACCCTAAGCCAAACCCTAAACCGTAAACCTAAACCAACCCTAAACCAACCCTAAACCAACCCTAAATCAACATAAACCAACCCTAAACCAACCCTAAACTAACCCTAAATACACCCTAAATATACCCTAAACCAATTCCGAACCAACCCTAAACCACCACAACCCAACCACAGGACCACAACCACAGGGGGGGGGGGGTACTTGCCTGACCATGACCATTGGTGGGGGAAGGGGGCTCATCTGTGCCCACATTTTCGGCTCATCTCCGCCCGCACAGAAGTGACTCATCTGCGCCCGCATTTTCTGACTCACGTGCGCCCACAGATTCTTTCGCGAATACATAGAAGTTGACCCTTTGCAAAAAGGGGTCAGCGGAGGATCATCTGCGCCCACACTTTGGGCTCATCCCTGCCCACAGAGAGTTTTAGGGTTTTTTGGCGTAGGGTCATTAGGGTTTAGGTTTTTAGGGTTTAGGGTTTTTGGGCCAAGGGTTTTTAGGGTTTAGGGTTTCAGGGTTTAGGATCTTTGTTGATTAGGGTGTTTAAGGTTTAGGGTTTTTAGGGTTTAGGGTTTTTAGGGCTTAGGATCTGCAGTGTTTAAGGATTTTAGAGTTTAGATTTTTTAGGGTTCATGGTTTTTGGGGTTTAGGGTTTTTAGGGCTTAGGATCTTTAGTGTTTAGGGTTTGTAAGGTTTAAGGTTTTTAGGGTTTAGGGATTTTAGGGTTTAGGGTCTTCAGATCTTCAGTGTTTAAGGTTTTTAGGGTTAGGGGTTTTTAGGGTTTAGGGTTTTTAGGGTTTAGGGTCTTCAGGGTTTAGGATCTTCAGTGTTTAGGGTTTTTAGGGTTAAGGGTTTTTAGGGTTTACGGTTTTTAGGGTTTAGGGTTTTAGGGTTTAGGGGTTTTAGGGTTTAGGATCTTTAGTGTTTACGGTTGTAGCGTTTAGGGTTTGAGGGTTTAGGTTTTTCAAGGGTTCAGTTTTGTTGGGATTAGGGTTTTTAGGGTTTAGGGTTTAGGGTTTTGGGTTTTCAGGGTTTACGATCTTTAGTGATTAGGGTGTTTAAGGTTTAGGGTTTTTAGGGTTTAGGGTTTTTAGGGCTTAGGATCTTCAGTGTTTAAGGATTTTAGGGTTTAGGCTTTTTAGGGTTCAGGGTTTTTTAGGTTTAGGGTTTTTAGGGCTTAGGATCTTTAGTGTTTAGGGTTTGTAAGGTTTAGGGTTTCTAGGGTTTAGGGATTTTAGGGTTTAGGGTCTTCAGGGTTTAGGATCTTCAGTGTTTAGGGTTTTTAGGGTTAAGGGTTTTTAGGGTTCAGGGTTTTTAGGGTTTACGGTTTTTAGGGTTTAGGGTTTTTAGGGTTTAGGGTTTTTAGGGTTTAGGGGTTTTAGGGTTTAGGGGTTTCAGGGTTTAGGGTCTTCAGGGTTTAGGATCTTCAGTGTTTAGGGTTTTTAGGGTTAAGGGTTTTTAGGGTTTACGGTTTTTAGGGTTTTCAGGGTTTAGGATCTTCAGTGTTTAGGGCTTTTAGGGTTTAGGGTTTTTAGGGTTTAGGGGTTTCAGGGTTTAGGATCTTTAGTGTTTACGGTTGTAGGGTTTAGGGTTTTTCTGGGTTTAGGATCTTCAGTGCCTAAGGTGTTTAGGGCTTAGGTTTTTTAAGGGTTCAGTTGCTTTTTGGGTTTAGGGTTTTTAGGGTTTAGGGTTTAGGGTGTTGGGTTTTCAGGGTTTGGGAGCTTTAGTGATTAGGGTGTTTAAGGTTTAGGGTTTTTAGGGTTTAGGGTTTTTAGGGCTTAGGGTCTTCAGTGTTTAAGGGTTTTGGGTTTAGGGTTTTCAGGGTTTAGGATCTTTGTTGATTAGGGTGTTTAAGGTTTAGGGGTTTTAGGGTTTAGGGTTTTTAAGGCTTAGGATCTTCAGTGTTTCAGGATTTTAGGGTTTAGGTTTTTTATGGTTCCGGGTGTTTTGGGTTTAGGGTTTTTAGGGCTTAGGATCTTTAGTGTTTAGGGTTTGTAAGGTTTAGGGTTTTTAGGGTTTCGGGATTTTAGGGCTTAGGGTCTTCATGGTTTAGGGATTTTAGGGTTTTAGGGTTTAGGGTGTTTAGGGTTTAGGGTTTTTAGGGTTTAGGATCTTCAGCGTTTAGGGTTTTAGGGTTTAGGGATTTTAGGGTTTAGGGTTTTTAGGGTTTTTAGGGTTTAGGATCTTCAGCGTTTAAGGTTTTTAGGGTTTAGGGGTTTTAAGGGCTCAGTTTTTTTTTGGTTTAGGGTTTTTAGGGTTTAGGGTTTTGGGTTTTCAGGGTTTAGGGTCTTTAGTGATTAGGGTGTGTAAGGTTTAGGGTTTTTAGGGTTTAGGGTTTTCAGGGCTTAGGATCTTCAGTGTTTAAGGGTTTCAGGGTTTAGGCTTTTTAGGGTTCAGGGTTTTAAGGGTTTTTTTGGTTTTTAGGGTTTAGGATCTTCAGTGTTTAAGGTTTTTAGGGTTTAGGGTTTTTAGGGTTTAGGGATTTTAGGGTTTAGGGTCTTCAGGGTTTAGGATCTTCAGTGTTTAGGGTTTTTAGGGTTAAGGGCTTTTAGGGTTTAGGGTTGTTAGGGTTAAGGGTTTTTAGGGTTTTGGTTCTTCAGGGTTTAGGATCTTCAGTGTTTAGGGTTTTTAGGGTTAAGGGTTTTTGGGGTTTAGGGTTTTTAGGGTTTAGGGTCTTCAGGGTTTAGGATCTTCAGTGTTTAGGGTTTTTAGGGTTAAGGGTTTTTTAGGGTTTACGGTTTTTAGGGTTTTCAGGGTTTAGGATCTTCAGTGTTTAGGGTTTTTAGGGTTTAGGGTTTTTAGGGTTTAGGGGTTTCAGGGTTTAGGATCTTTAGTGTTTAGGGTTTTTAGGGTTTAGGGTTTTTAGGGTTAAGGGTTTTCAGGGTTTAGGGTTTTTAGGGTTTAGGGTTTGTTGGGTTTAGGATCTTCAGTGTTTAAGGTTTTTAGGGTTTAGGTTTTTTAAGGGTTCAGTTTTTTGTGGGTTTAGCGTTTTTAGGGTTTAGGGTTTAGGGTTTTCAGGGTTTAGGATCTTTAGTGGTTAGGGTGTTTAAGGTTTAGGGTTTTTAGGGTTTAGGGTTTTTAGGGCTTAGGATCTTCAGTGTTTAAGGATTTTAGGGCTTAGGTTTTTTAGGGTTCAGGGTTTGTTGGGTTTAGGGTTTTTAGGGCTTAGGATCTTTAGTGTTTAGGGTGTGTAAGGTTTTGGGTTTTAGGGTTTAGGGATTTTAGGGTTTAGGGTCTTCAGGGTTTAGGATCTTCAGTGTTTAGGGTTTTGACCCATAGTGGACACCTATGGCAGTTTCTCAAACTATTCTCTAAGAGCTGTAAAGCCCCAAAACACCTAAGATCATCTGC